CCCGGGATCGCTATAATATCAAATCATTCCAAACTCCTGTACTCCAAAACTATTTTCAAAATATACAACCTAACAAACCAAAAAAATTTCTAAACTCTTTTCCTAAGATTTTTTTTGAAAATTTATGTCCCAAAACCAAACCAAACACACCCGTAATCTTTCATGAATTCCATCTACCTCCTCTGATGCAGATTTAAATCTTTTTGAGAGAATAAATACGTAAGGCTTTTATGGTCTGAGAATACGTGAAATTTCTCCCCGTACAAATAGTGCCTATAAAGTTTTAGGGCAAAGATTACTACAGCTAACTCTAAGTCATGAGTTGGGTAATTCCTCTCTTGAGTCTTCAATTAAAGCAAACCATATGCTAGAACCTTACCATCTTGCATTAACACACTCCCCAAACCTTCCCTAGACGCATTACAATAGACGATTTAACCCAATCCTGTAATAACCCTTACACTGTCCTAACCATACTCATATATATTCATATGATTTTGTCTTGTTAAGCTTGCATTTCAAGTCTTGTCCTTGTTCGCTTAAGTGTTACAGCATGCTTTGTACCTTACTCGGTGTGGGTTTAGCCGAGGTCACCCTGAGCCTAGGTCAGTTTTGAACCTCTTGCATCTAAGACCGTCTTGGAATTTACTTTGGTTGACTCCACCTTCGCTATGACATGTTGGCCGAGATGTCACTATCTAGGCCGAGGTGTTCATCGCTGAGGCCGAGATGCGTATTATCTAGGCCGAGATGTTACCCTTGAACCCAAGTGACCTTACTCCTGGATTGGTACGACCTAGACCGAGGTGTGGCACATCTAGGCCAAGGTGTGGCACAGCTAGGCCAAGTGTTGTCCTTTCTAGCCGATGTCCTTTCCCTTTGCTTGCCGAAGTCTTGTTGTTAGCCGATGTCGTTACTTGTCGGAGTGCTCTTGCCGCCTAGCTTGTTGAGTACACTTTGTCATAGTCTTGTCTTTTCACTCAGTCACCTTTTTGAGTAGAACCAACCAGCCGTTGCCACGTACCCCTGCAGAGGGTTAAGTCAGCTGACAGACCCAGAAAATATACATTTTTGTATTATATCTTTGCCTTGTAGAGAGAGAGAAGCTTTAGGAAGAAGAAGAAGTTTTAGAGTGAGAGAGTGGGCTTTCAAGCTTGATTCCTAGAGATCAAACCAATAGATTCATGTATTGAGGTTAGATTCTTGATTTGCTCTTATTGTTCTTTATGTTTATCTAGCTGCATTGGACGATCGAACCTGTTCTGCACGACATGCATTGATTTAAAGTTGGTTTTAGAAAGAAAAAATAGTGTTCATATGTTCTTGAAGAAAAAGTCTTGTTTGATCCGAAAGTTTACATTAAGATTCATATTTTTGTGTTTGTTCTCACAAGATCCTTGAATATGGGTACCCAGGTCCATGTTTTTGAATTCATAGCATGAAATCTCAGACTTTGTAATAGCAAATCATGATCCTTGCATTCATCTTCCCCATGTTCATGTTCTTCATGTTCGTCATGTTCTTCAAGAGAGGGAAACCCAGATTTTCCTGACTTCATTTCCTCGAATGTGGCCATCGAGGCCACACCTCGGCAAGGAGGTGTGGGACCTCAGCCTAGACCTGGTAGTTGCCTAGCATGTTTTCCCAAGATAAGAAACTGTGTTTTGTTTTGATTTGACTTAGTTTTAAAGAATGCTGAGGTCATTTACATGCATGCAATACTTGTTTTGAGAAGTGCATTCAATAGACCTTGCCATGTGTTTGTAGGACGTGGACTTGCCTTGACCCCGACGTTTGAAGAACTATGTGAGTGGTATTTTTAATAAAGTTATGTTATTAAGTTTTGATAAAGTTTTGCCTTGCTTGTTTTGGAAAAGTATTTTGTGAAGCATGAATGATGATCCCTATTTTGTATACCAAGTACTAGCCTCGTTTTGAATGACAATCTTGAAAAGTCCGTACGTGCTAGGGGAATATAAGCATTTGTAGTACAATCTTGAAAAGTCCGTACGTGCTAGGGGACTATAAGCATTTGTAGCACAATCTTGAAGAGTCCGTACGTGCTAAGGAACTATAAGCATTTGTAGCACAACCTTTGTTAATGTCATCCCTTGGATTTTGTACAAGATGTGTTATGCTTTGATTTGATAAGATTTCGGATATCATTCATATAAACTGCCTTTATTATTTATACCATTCACTGAGTATCTAAGCTCACCCCTCTCTATATATATGTAGGTGACGAGCAGGACGGCGGTGACGCCTAGATGTACTTGCCACTTGTTTTGGATTTTGCACTTTTGCAGCATCTTAAAGATGTATGCCATTCCATTTAACTTATGCACTGCTCTTATGGACTAATTAGATTTATATATATTTCTTCCGCACATGTTAGCCCCATATGTAATACTCTGATTGTGTGTAAATTTTGAAAGTTGGCCTTCGGTAATCTAGGATTACTGGCTATCACGGCACCATTCTACTAGGGGCGGTTTGGGGTCGTGACAGTAGGAGAGTGTCCCACACACAAGAAAAAAAATACAAAAAATACACCTTCTTTGCCTACTGGTTTGAAATGGTCAAATATTATCTGAGGGGAAATATAGCATAAGGCAAAACTTTGGTAGAGTGGTTAAGGTGTTGAGTGTGGAGTCTTAGGTTGGGGGTTCTCAAACCCCTTCACCATCATTCCTTAAATTCATTTTTTTAGGTAAAGACAAGTCAGCGCCAAATGAGTTAGTACTCTTTTGTTGTAACCAAGTGTTAACTTGGAAAGCTGTAAGCCCATAGGGCATTTGCTTTTGTTGTTAACATGTAATACTTATGTAATGGAATTCTGATAAATGGAAGAATGTGGAACTTTTACATATCAATGCATGTCTTATTTGTTGGATTTAATGTTATTATTTTGAGGGCGTTACATTAATAAAGTTATGTTATTAAGTTTTGATAAAGTTTTGCTTTGCTTGTTTTGGAAAAGTATTTGTTCAGCATGAATGACTATCCCTATCTTGTGTATCAAGTATTAGCTTTGGTTTTGACAATCTTTGAAAGTCCGTACGTGTTAGGGGACTATAAGCATTTGTAGCACAACCTTTGTTAATGTTATCCCTTGGAACTCGAAAGATTTGTTAGATAAACTTGATTTGCCCTTGGATTTTGTACAAGATGTGATGTGCCTTGATTTGATAAAGACTTCGGATATCATTCATGTGAACCCCTTTGTTATTTATACCATTCACTGAGTATCCAAGCTCACCCCTCTCTATATATATGTAGGTGACGAGCAGGACGGCGGTGATGCCTAGATGTACTTGCCACTTGTTTTGGATTTTGCACTTTTGCAGCATCTTAAAGATGTATGCCATTCCATTTAACTTATGCACTACTCTTATGGACTAATTAGATTTATATATATTGCTTCCGCACATGTTAGTCCCATATGTAATACTCTGATTGTGTGTGAATTTTGAAAGATGGCCTCCGGTAATCTCGGATTACTGGCCATCACGGCACCATTCTACTAGGGGCGGAATGGGGTCGTGACAAATCCTCTCTCCGAAATGATCAGGACTGGTTCAGTAGTTAATCTAGCCTTTAGTTCCATGAAAGATTTCTCGCATGACTCACCTAAGCAAATTTCACCCCTTTCCAGGTTAGCCTAGTCAATGGGGATGCTAGGGTAGAAAAGTTCTTTACGAACCGCCTATAATAACCAGCGATACCCAAAAAGTTACGAATATCAAAGGCATTCTTAGGTCGCTCCCAATTTTGTATGGCCTCAACTTTCGAAGAATCTACAGTAACCCCATCCCCGGAAACGACATGGCCCAAAGACTTTATCTCAGAAAGCCAAAATTCACACTTCTCGTATTTGGCATATAATTAGTGCTCCCTAAGCAACTGCAGGACAATACGGAGCTATTTATACTTTTCCTGGAAGGTGAATATATTAGAATGTCATCCACAAAAACTACTACCAATTTATCGAGATATTCTCGGAAGACTCGATTCATCAAGTCCATGAAAGTGGCAGGGGTATTTGTCAAGCTAAACGGCATTACAAGCAACTCATAGTGGCCATATCGAGTACGAAAGGCCGTCTTCGGAATATCCTCTTCTGTAACACATAATTGATGATAACTCAACCTTAGGTCTATCTTTCATAAACATTGGGAACCCTTATGTTGGTCAAAAAGGTCATCTATTCTGGGTAATAGATATTTGTTCTTAACCGTGACCTTATTCAACTTACTGTAATCTATACATAGCCTTAACAAACCGACTTTCTTTTTGGCAAAGAGAGTTAGTGCTCCGCATGGCGAGGTAGTTGGGCGTATAAAGCCCTTGTCTAGCAATTCTTGTAACTACTCCTTCAAAGCAAGTAGCTCAGTTGGGTTAAAAGTTTAATTTAGGTTAAAAGATTAAAATGTTCAATTTGAAACAATAGAGACCAAGTAAAATTTGAGTCAAACTATAAGGGTTAAAAGTTTAATTAATCGTAATTATGACCACATAGATGTATTCTTTTTTATTAAAAATTTAACTAGTCAAGGGTGTAATATAAATTAGTAGAATGTCACACAACTATTTTGGCATAACATATATTATGGGGCTGCATACTAGATGAATTTTTTTGTTGTGTTATGCTATTTTAACCATGCTACACCTAAATAGTAAATGCTACTAATATTAAGAATCCTAATAAATATATGAACAAATATATCAACTAAAAACATAAAATTTGTTGCTATTTTTCATAATAATATTAGAAAAATATATAAAATAAAATTAAATAGAAATGACAAATCAATTTTTTTTTTTATTATTAAAGAATGAAATATAAAATGAACTACAGAACTAAAAAAAATAAGAATGAACTAGATTACATCATGGAACATATTACAAGATGGATTCAAATAAACATATAAAATAATATACGATATATTATTTAAATTTAAAACTTTGAAGAATAAAAGATAAAGGATGCAAACCGAAACTTGTGTGATACCACAGTTTCCTTAAAATAGATTTACCATGTCACAACCCAAACCCACCCCTATAGGTTTAGCATCATGACTGGCCAATAATCCTAAGATTATCGAAGGCCTCTTAAATAGATACATAATATGAGTGGCTAGCGGAAGCAAAATACAAACATACATCGTCCATTGAGCTGTGCAGACTTACATGAGACAGAAAATATTTAAACTTTTTTTTTTATTTTGTATTTTTATATACGTATATTATCACATCATTCCTGCATCATCATATATATATATATATACAAATGAGACAAAAGGGACTTAACCTTATATATAGAATAAACAAAAACTTAAACTTTAATTACATAGCCTTGACACTTGACATATCCAGAACCTCCACGGGAGATGCATAGGTTGGCTGACAAAAACAGAGTCCAGGCAAACGCCTCTAAACCTGGTCATGCGCTTGATCACGGGCCTGATCACCTATATACATATATAAAAACATGAGCGAGAGCCTAGTGAATAACAACAATGTAAAGATGTTATGAATGATATCCTTACTGTAATCCAAATCTGTCACGACCCAAACTCGCCCCTGTAGGTTTAGCGTCGTAACCGGCCAATAATCCGTAATTACCAAAGGCCTGATTAACAGTAATGACAGTAATGCAATGTAAAGGGGCTGGCAGAAGCCAATCAGTAATAGTTTACATCGTCCAATGAGCTGTGATAACCTGAATGGGAAAACTTTTATGGACATAACCACATTCATAGCCATATGTATGCCTACACACCAAAAACACATATACAAAGTAGCATACAGGTTAGGGACCTAATCCCTACACCATAACTGTACAATCAGAAGTCTTAGACATTCAGTACATTAATATAGACAAAAAGGGTGAAACTGAAACACCCCAAAACAGCCTTGACTTGTGCAGGTTCAGAACCTCAATATGAGGCATGATGCTTGGCTTGACAAAACATGAGTCTAAGTCAGTGCCTCTAGCTCTGGTCCGGTGCTTGGCCACCTACATATATATATAAACTGTGAGCTAAAACCCAATGAATAACAAATGTGTAAAGGGGTTAAGAATGAATGTCCTTTCTGTAATTCAAACAGTTATTTGCACCAGTAGATCAGTTATTCAATCAGTGTCTCATGTTTCATGTCATGTCAGTGATTTAGGAATCATAGCAGTCATACGTGGTACATCCAATAGCAAAATAGTACAGTAGGCCTTAAAGACCAAACAGTCATTTGATGGCCCTCAATACAGTAACGGTAGTTCCAAGAATAGGAACTGACAAAGATCTCTGTAATAGTAGCAGTAACCGTGACAGTAGCAGTAGCAGTAACAATAACAGTCAGTTGCTATGGATGCCACGAGTATAGTTCATAAAATAAGACAAGCATTCATTCAGTAAACAATATCATTCGGAAAGTAGTACAGTTAATCATTCAGAAAAATGATTATAATTTAACATAGCTTTACAACATTGTTACTCACAGATCACTGGGCTATAGGCAGGCTAATCAGCATCCTTGGGTGCCAAACCTACACAGTTGTAGAATGTACACACACTAAATTACACACCCGGAATTAATAACTCAGCCCCTTGCTTGCTTTGGTGTGGTTCTAAATCATTATCCTCATTATGATGCCTTAAACATGGCCTAGGAATACCTAGGATGAAATGAGGATGCAAAAATGTACTTAAAAATATTTTTCAAAACTTACTGAAAACGGAGTCTCAATCGAGCGTGGCTTCCTTCGCTCGAGCGGACATACAGATTGGTCACTCGAGCATAGACTCCTTCGCTCGAGCGATCTGTAAAAATGTGAAAAGTACTGGTTGCTGAAAATCTCCACTCGATGCTCGCTCGAGCGTGAGACATAGTTCTTCGCTCGAGCGCAAGTCTTGTCGCTCGAGCGTGCTTCTGCACACGCTAAAATTCTGAGAGCTTGCAATTTACGCTCGAGCCAACATTCCGTCGCTCGAGCGAAATTCTAAAAGCAAAGGTGGTCGCTCGAGCGAGGAAGCCAAATTCTCGGTTTTCCAGATTTGCTCCCAAAGCTCAAACCATGGATTTAATATGCCAAAACTCATTCTTTTGGGCCAAAATTCTGGAAAACACTTAAAGACTCATAACATAACATGATTTAAAGACTATTTCATAAAATTAAAGCCCAAAAGTATGCCAATTGAACACAAACTCAACTTCAACTTTATGATTGATTCAAAAACATGACATGCATGAGCTCCATGAACTCCAATACTTCAAAGTATGATCAAATGCAGATTCAACTTAGAAACATCGTGAATTTCTAGAGCACAACCATAACATGAACATGCATGTGGAAGTTTTCATGAAAACAACTCTCAAAATTCAATGATATGGGCATGCATACATGAATTAATTCTCAAATCCACTCTTTAAGCTATTTCTTGACTTTAGCCCCTAATTTCCATGAATCCATGCATTAAACAACTTCAATTCACAATTAAAAGGGTGGATTCCTACCTTAAGTCTTGGATTTCCAAGTGTGGTAGCTCAATCTTCCAAATCCTCTCCAATTTCCTCTAAATTTTAAGCTATTCACTTGTTGAATTCACTCTCTTCCTACTCTTCTCTTTCTCCCTCACAGTTTTTGCAAGCAGGTGGAACATGAACGGTGTGTCAAACATATAAAAAAAAAATAGGAACAAGACAATGATCTTGAGGGAGCCCACTCAATGGCAAAAAATGTAATTAACTTAGGCTCAATTGATTAGCATTATTTATTCTAATTTAATTGTTCCAAATCGAGTTTCAATTAAACCTACCATAATATCCTATAATTCCTAACTAGTATATAACACAAGTCAAGTTAATTTCTGAATCGGTCGCCGATAAGGCTTTCAATTCGCGACTCGAAATTAAAACGTGAACAGATCGTTCTATATCAAACATATAGAAATGCAATTAAAACAACACACTCACATAATCAATTTGGGTTTTCATCTCAATCATTTACTTAACCTGCTTAATCATGAATTAATGCTAAGCACAGGTCAGGGTTGTCACAAAATCGGCCAATTTTAGCAGTAAATAGAAAATCAGAAGCATATGCTTAGTAGATCCATATCTCATACAGAAGCATAGTAGTTATACGTGGTACATCTAATAGCAGAACAATACAAACGGTCATGAAGACCGAACAATCACATATGATGGCCATCATTACCGTAAACAGAAGTTCTAAGAATTGGAACTGATAGAGATCTCTGTAACAATAACAGTAAACAAATACTAAGGATGCCACGAATACAGTTTGTAATGCCCTCAAAATAACAACATTAAACCCATCAATAAAGACATGCATTTATATGTAAAAGTTCCACATTCTTCCATTTAATAGAGTTTCATTAAGAATAAAGCACTTCCGCTCGAGCGCGAAAACCAGTCCGCTCGAGCGTGGATTTCCCCCTCCCAGAACTTATACTCTGGAAGTACTACCCGCTCGAGCGGCCACCGACCCGCTCAAGCACCACCGCTCGAGCGTAAACAAACCCGCTCGAGCGCAAAAATCACATCTGCAGAAGTTTTGCAGAGACACGAAATACTGGAAGTGTGTAATCCCCGCTCGAGCGCAATAATACCCGCTCAAGCGGACAGGCCAAAATCTGGGCAACTAGTTTTGGTTTCTAAACTCAACCAACCTATAACAGACCTGCCCAACACATCCCGCAACTCAAATACAAAGTAAGAAATGATACAAGCAAGATAATGATCAACTACCAACATCCACGGGCACATGCCCGGATCACTGCACAACAAGGGTAAACCCGGGATCGCTATACAATTCATAAAAATAGTATGATCGTTCATTTAAACAAAAAACACCATTTCAAAAACAGAGTATCGCATAAGCAAAAAAATACTTATAATTAAACATATCTTTACGAGATTATTACTCACAGATAGCTCCAAAGACAGATCAGACGGACCGTAGCACGTGATCTAGACAAACACATAACAGATACACATCGAAACACTATCACTTTCTTGATCAAACTTAAATTTCTCGTCTTTTTCTGTCTAAGTAACCTGAAGTTCTACTATGCTTATTATTCTTACTCAAATAAGCCGGGTTCTCATTTCATATACTCTTCATTACTAAATCTTTCTTTTTCAAATAGATCGATTTCTTATTTGGCTTTTTAATCAATTACTACTAATTTAATAATTTATTCTTTAACCAACTAATTTTTGTTGATTGTTAGCTTATTTTAACTATAGCTTTCAAAATAAACCCCAAAATAATTAATTTTTAAATTAACTTTCATAATCTTGAGTTTAGCTCCAATTCTTCATTTTCTTGTCAATTTCTTTTTAATCACGTAAAATTGATTTCAAACTCTTTTCCATTTTCCTTCAAAACAAGAAATCAAAGTTGTAAACTCCTTAGAAAATCGATTGCATGTATGAAATTGACATCAAAATTAACTAATTTTATATTTTTATTAATTTACTTCATATCAAACCCAAATTCAAACTCATAAATTCTAAAACATGAATTAAGCTTTCAAAATATAATTCCAAAACTTGGGTTCGTACATAACTTGTCTAAAAATATACACACTTTGAAATTATCAAGAAAACATGATCAATTTTAAATCATTTACATCAAAACTCCTTCAATTTAAAAATTGAGCTCGTTTATTCATAAACTCATAATTTTTCCAAAATTTTGCTCTTCTTATTTCAAAATATGAAATCAATTCGTAGAACTCTATGATGCATGTAAATATGGAATTCAATTTCATGAAAAACAACAAAAATCAAACTCAAATGATGAATTACAAAATTAATCTCTTAGAATTTGATCTTAACTCAATTTTTAACCCAAAACTTAATTTTTATTAGACTATTCTTCATTCTCTTCAAAATATGAAATGAAATAGCTCAAGGTCTTCAAAATCCATGATGCATGTAAGTATAAAACTCAAATACTTCATAGTGTTCAAAATCAAACTCAATTTGATGATATTACGAGATCAATTTCCATATTCATTACCCTAACTCGTTTTTCTTCATCTTCTTGCTAATTTCTTTTTAATTACATGAAATTGAACCTAATTATCTCTTAATTTCAGTTTCTAGATGATTTATCTACAAGATTTGAGCTTTAATTTCTTACCTTAAATCTTCAATTTGGTGAATTCTTGACAAAATCTTGAACACTTATTCAATCTTGCACTTTTCCAAGCTTTTCCTTAACCTTTCTTCATCATTTCCAGCACAAAGATTTGAACTCTCTCTCTCTCTCTCTCTCTCATTCGGTGCTCTCTCCTCCCTTCTCTTTTCTTTACTTCTCCAAATGTTTTGAGCCAAAGGGATTTGCATCCTCTTAAGTTACCAGTACACACGCGTGCACTCCCAGACTTTCTAGAACTCTCTCAACACATACCAATATTTCAATTAAGTTAAATAAGATTACATTAATTTACTAATTACATATTACTTTAATTAATCACCTCTTAATATTAATTAATCATAATTTAATTAATCAGAACTAATCACAAGTCTCACATAATTTAATTAGTCTAATTGACTTCAATTAAGGCCCAATTAATTATATTTAATTTTTACCAATCTGAATCAGATTTTTAATCAAACTCCCAAAAGACTCCAAATATTAAATTAAACTTATTGACACCATCAAGTTTGATTTCCTAAATCATTTAGGCCTTCAATTTATGATCAGACTCAAAATTTCCATCAATAAATTACATATTCACATTGGACACCTCATAAATAAATTTAATTCATAATAATCACAATTCTCAATCCTCATAGCTTAATTAACTTAATTAACTCCAATTTGGACCTAATTAATCAAATCTCAATTTTACTAAACTGAATCGAATATTTAATTAAACTCCCATATGATCCGATACTTGAAATTAAACTAAATCAACTCATCAATTTTAGCCCCTTAAGCTATTTGGACGCTCAATTTCTAATACCAAAATAAATCCTTAATAGAATCATATACGAATTAGATTCCACAATTCTCATAAATCCCAAATTAAATCAGAATAACGACTAATTAAAATCCAAATCTCCTTAATTAATGAATTATAAAATATTATATGTGGCAGGGTCGTCACCAGTAGGTGTTAGAGGTACGCTGTCATCTGTCTCCCAAAGTACGATGGTCGAAATAAGCTCATGTAGAAGTACCTTCTGAATAGCTTTGGTGAACTTGACAATAACAACTCTCTCTCTAACAAGAACCAAAGAAGGGACTAGCAATAGGAAGATAGGAAAAATTTCTTTGATATAAAAATCATCTCCAACTTTACCTAAAGAAAATCACAAATTTTCATCTTAAAATACTTCTATATTATACATCTAAGTTGGAGGGAAAATGCCCTTTTTATACTTGTAGGGAAGGAGTCTTCGCCATGAAGGCTACTGTAAAAGCTAGTATCAATGGCCATCAACTCTAGCTATTAGGACTAGAGTTACAAAAGTACAAAACTCCCATGTGCATAATATATATACACTTAAATATGTATATAATGTTATTCAAACCCGATGGGTCGCAAAACGGATACGGGTGTTAGGTCACACCCCGATCGAAGCCCAATCTCAAACACATGCATAAGTTAAGCCCAATACAACATAACTTAGCCCAAGCTCAAGACTAAGTCCAAGTCCAAAACCAAACCCAGCACAAGCACAAGCACAAGCCTAAGCCTAGGCTCAGTACAAACTAAGACTAAATCCAAATCTAGCATTCATAACTCAATGGTTTCAGCCCTTCATTTTTATATTGTAATCTTCTCACTTAAGAGAATACAAAGCACTCGGACCTACCTCAACCGGCGGTTGGGTCTCACTTTAATTTTAAATTAAAGTTGTCGAAAACACATTATTTTCCAACAATCTCCCACATAAATAAAATTGGCCGAATAAATAAAAACGGACAATGCTTAACAACAAAGACTCAGAAAGAGAGCACACAGAATAACCCTGCATTAGAAAAGGTAAATGTTGGTCTTGAACCTTTCGTAGTGAAAGCCTATAGTATTTACTGGCTGACTAGTAAACGTGATGTTGAACTGTTCTGCCATTAGTGTAAACCAAGACAATAGACCTCACACAGGAGTCACTCCAACCATTGTTATTTTTCTCACTGTTCGGTTCGGTTTAGCCCTCGAACATTAGCCTGGTTCAGTGAGTGTTTTTAAAGAATTTGGCCTTGCAATTCTTAAAGAAGTTGCCCCACTTCGCACTCACATAGGTGACCTACATAAGGTATCTCGTTATACCCCAGTTGACTATTTACAACACTTAGGTCAATAAAAGCATTAGCTTAACCTTCCACCCTATAGGGTATCATTGTATAAAGGAATGGGCAGGATGATTTACCTCCACAATGACTCACCAATTAGGTTGTTCTTTTAAACCTAGATCTTCGGATGTCTAGTTACTAGGTTGGGTTTTCTATTCCAGTAACATTCGCTGAAGGCCTTAACCTCATTCCTCTTGACGACTTCTTACTAACTCTCGATTTAACCCTTAGGTTAACGAATCTATAATATTGTCCTTAGACTATACATAGTCTGTAGTGACATCACACGAGAGTAGTCGTCGTATGAAATTATGTCTTCGGCAAAAATGTCTAGATTTGCCCTACCAATACTTGATTGATTGTCGCAAAGTACACAAAATTGCTAGAACAAGTTTTGATCAACATGGAATATCCTCAAGAAAACGACAAAGCCATTTAGCTACTTTAGTAGATTTATTTAAAGCAATAAGCTCATATTCCTTCATTGATCTTGATATACACATCTACTTGGAAGATTTCCAAGATACGGTTGCACTTCTAAAAGTGAAAACTAGTCCGCTAATGGACAAGACATCTACTAGGCACGCCTCCTAGTGCAACTGGATATCAAGTGTAATGCTATCCATAATCCCAATTACACAACTGCCTCCTAAAGATAGGCATTAGGACTACTCGTGTATCTACTTAGCCTGCTAATTGAGTAGGTTATACTCGACCTTGTACAACTCATCAGATACTTCAAATTTCCAATGATCCAAGAATGTTCTAGTTGAAATACACTCTGACCATTATTCTCAGCCAAATGTAGACTCAAGTTTACCAGTGTCCTCGATACATTTCTATTTAATTTATTAAATTTTTCAAGTGTCTTATCAACATAACGAGACTGAGAAAGTACAATACTACTAGATGTTCTGTTAATCTTAATACCCAGAATCACATCTGCAAAGCCCATATTTTTCCCGTCAAACTTAGAGCTTAACAATTTTTCAATAGTCCTGAACATCTTCTCATTATTGTACAGACACTGTAAGAATTTATGTATTATTGATTGATGTCTTGATAGATAGATTACAAGATGCATTAATTACAATTCCTATACAATCTATATATAGAAGAAAATGTGGTAGTAGGTGTAGTGGAGGTGATAGTGGGTTAGGTGAAGTGGAGTGTGTAGTGGAGTAGAGGTAGGTGAAGTGGAGTGTGTAGTGGAGTAGAGGTAGGTGAAGTGGAGTGTGTAGTGGAGTAGAGGTAGGTGAAGTGGAGTGTGTAGTGGAGTAGAGGTAGGTGAAGTGGAGTGTGTAGTGGAGTAGAGGTAGGTGAAGTGGAGTGTGTAGTGGAGTAGAGGTAGGTGAAGTGGAGTGTGTAGTGGAGTAGAGGTAGGTGAAGTGGAGTGTGTAGTGGAGTAGAGGTAGGTGAAGTGGAGTGTGTAGTGGAGTAGAGGTAGGTGAAGTGGAGTGTGTAGTGGAGTAGAGGTAGGTGAAGTGGAGTGTGTAGTGGAGTAGAGGTAGGTGAAGTGGAGTGTGTAGTGGAGTAGAGGTAGGTGAAGTGGAGTGTGTAGTGGAGTAGAGGTAGGTGAAGTGGAGTGTGTAGTGGAGTAGAGGTAGGTGAAGTGGAGTGTGTAGTGGAGTAGAGGTAGGTGAAGTGGAGTGTGTAGTGGAGTAGAGGTAGGTGAAGTGGAGTGTGTAGTGGAGTAGAGGTAGGTGAAGTGGAGTGTGTAGTGGAGTAGAGGTAGGTGAAGTGGAGTGTGTAGTGGAGTAGAGGTAGGTGAAGTGGAGTGTGTAGTGGAGTAGAGGTAGGTGAAGTGGAGTGTGTAGTGGAGTAGAGGTAGGTGAAGTGGAGTGTGTAGTGGAGTAGAGGTAGGTGAAGTGGAGTGTGTAGTGGAGTAGAGGTAGGTGAAGTGGAGTGTGTAGTGGAGTAGAGGTAGGTGAAGTGGAGTGTGTAGTGGAGTAGAGGTAGGTGAAGTGGAGTGTGTAGTGGAGTAGAGGTAGGTGAAGTGGAGTGTGTAGTGGAGTAGAGGTAGGTGAAGTGGAGTGTGTAGTGGAGTAGAGGTAGGTGAAGTGGAGTGTGTAGTGGAGTAGAGGTAGGTGAAGTGGAGTGTGTAGTGGAGTAGAGGTAGGTGAAGTGGAGTGTGTAGTGGAGTAGAGGTAGGTGAAGTGGAGTGTGTAGTGGAGTAGAGGTAGGTGAAGTGGAGTGTGTAGTGGAGTAGAGGTAGGTGAAGTGGAGTGTGTAGTGGAGTAGAGGTAGGTGAAGTGGAGTGTGTAGTGGAGTAGAGGTAGGTGAAGTGGAGTGTGTAGTGGAGTAGAGGTAGGTGAAGTGGAGTGTGTAGTGGAGTAGAGGTAGGTGAAGTGGAGTGTGTAGTGGAGTAGAGGTAGGTGAAGTGGAGTGTGTAGTGGAGTAGAGGTAGGTGAAGTGGAGTGTGTAGTGGAGTAGAGGTAGGTGAAGTGGAGTGTGTAGTGGAGTAGAGGTAGGTGAAGTGGAGTGTGTAGTGGAGTAGAGGTAGGTGAAGTGGAGTGTGTAGTGGAGTAGAGGTAGGTGAAGTGGAGTGTGTAGTGGAGTAGAGGTAGGTGAAGTGGAGTGTGTAGTGGAGTAGAGGTAGGTGAAGTGGAGTGTGTAGTGGAGTAGAGGTAGGTGAAGTGGAGTGTGTAGTGGAGTAGAGGTAGGTGAAGTGGAGTGTGTAGTGGAGTAGAGGTAGGTGAAGTGGAGTGTGTAGTGGAGTAGAGGTAGGTGAAGTGGAGTGTGTAGTGGAGTAGAGGTAGGTGAAGTGGAGTGTGTAGTGGAGTAGAGGTAGGTGAAGTGGAGTGTGTAGTGGAGTAGAGGTAGGTGAAGTGGAGTGTGTAGTGGAGTAGAGGTAGGTGAAGTGGAGTGTGTAGTGGAGTAGAGGTAGGTGAAGTGGAGTGTGTAGTGGAGTAGAGGTAGGTGAAGTGGAGTGTGTAGTGGAGTAGAGGTAGGTGAAGTGGAGTGTGTAGTGGAGTAGAGGTAGGTGAAGTGGAGTGTGTAGTGGAGTAGAGGTAGGTGAAGT